AAGGGAAGGTAAATAGAGGATGAAAGGGAGGAGAGAATAAACAAACAAAAACAATGAAAGGAAAAATCCAGAGTAGGTGTCAAATCGAGAGGCGAAAACTCTGGGGGATTCTGCCAGCCAAGTAGCTCAAGAGGTAGGTGGGCAAGTGACATGGTGTTGGTTTTTCTGGCTGTAGATGGCATTCCTGTAGGCCTAGGTGTTTTGTGTGTGATCACCGAATCCAAAAGCAGTTCATGAAGATCCCAAAGCTGCTAGGCATCCCAGAGGGCAGCCAAGTGTGAGAGTTCCCACTAGTCCAGAGCTGGTCAGCACTAGCTCTGTGGGTCTGGAGCAGCCCTCACCTGAGTCCAGATATTGGTAGTTTGTGCAGATAGCACCAGAACTCACTTTGATGTGATTCACAACTGCGCAACTTAACCACCACATAGTTCCAACTGCCTAGATAACAGAAGCTTTGCTGAAAGTGTATGCTGGTGGGGGCTGGCCATTCCTCTGATCCCAAGTGAGTGTTGGCAACAAGAAAAACAATTGCACCTTTATCTCCATAACCATCTGTATGCATATACTCTACCAAGCAGCTGTCTTGTCTCTGAAGCTGCTTATAAAAGTTTGAGATGGTTTCCCCACATCTGGGTGGCTGACATAGATCACCTGTCTCCTTTTTCTTTGAAATGTCTTTTCAGCTTTCTCTCTTAGTAAACATTCAATCCACTTCTCTATCACTTCATCTGAAGCTCAGGGTTCTAGACTATCATCTGCATCTGTTTCATATGGCTTTCTGTATCTTTGTTGTAGTGTCTATGTAGTGTTTCTGCCTAGTCTGTCATCTTGCTGCATCTCTATAACTGATCCTTACTTGAAAAAAAATGTTTAATTCTGGAGAACAAAAGTTCTAAAGTATGCAATCAAAGTGAAAATAAACATGTTTACATTACCATTTACACAAATGGAATTTACACTAAAATGGAAGTAAATTAAAAAAACAAAACTCACTGTTATCCAGTTGGTTCTGACTCAATTCAATCCTATAGGACAGAATAGAACTACTGTACTTGGTAGAGCAGAGGAAGCCTTTTATAGGAGCAGACAGTCTCATCTTTCTCCTGAGGAGTAGCTGGTGAATTCAAACTGTTGGCTTTTCAGCTAGCAGCCCAAAGCCTAACGTTTACCTATGTCAGCAAGGTTCCTAAATAGATAAAATTATGTTAAAGAATGGATCCCTAAAATCTAAAATCCATTTGTTTGACACTTGTGATAAATAAGAATAACACAATTCCTTTGTTTAAAGGCTTAATAAAATTATAGATTAGATATATAATAGATTTTCTTTATATAAAACAATGTGACCA